GTCTGTTGAGGTGTACGGAGGTGTGGTGCTCGCGAGGGTTTGGTGGTGAGCTGGTGGTCGACTTTCTTCCTCACGTTAGCGTGACAGGTACCGCTTTCATGCGGGAGAGTACAGCCCTTGGCGTCTGTAATACCAGTCCTAATAAGATAAGGGTCGTCGCCTTCAAGGGGCATGTATAGATAACGCTTTCGTTTGTGCGCATACGTGCGAACATATTTTTGTGGAATTGAGTTGCCGGGGCTTCCAACTTGCTGTTGTTGAGGCCCCATATGGCTATCAAAGAACCGCCCCCACCACCGCGCTCTGTGGCGTTTCCTTGGTTCAGTTGGTAAGTTTTTACGAAAATTACCTCAAACCGTAATTATTATGAAAATCTGTACTTTACTAAATATTAAATATATAGAAAAAATTACGTCAAAAATAATATAGAAATTTTTATGAAAAAATATAGAAATATGAAAGTCAGTATTTTACGTAGAAATTAGATCAAACTGTACTTTACTAAAAACGGAGAAATTACGAAAAATTAAATATGATGAAAAAATACGTCTTACTGTACTTATAAAACGGAGAAATTATATACGGAAAATAAAGAAATTATTTCGAGTATTACGTCCAACTAAAAAATTGCGTATAAATTACGTCTTACTGTACTTTACTAAAAATTTATGAAAAATTTAGCGTTACTGCCACTTTATAGAAAAATTACGAAAATTACCTCAAACCGTACTTACTAATGAAAAATTAAATATTACATCAAACTAGACAGAAAAATTATGAAAAATTAAATATGAAAAATTTAGCTTTAACTGTACTTTACTAAAAAATTTATGAAAAATTTAGCGTTACTGCCACTTTATAGAAAAATTACGAAAATTACCTCAAACCGTACTTACTAAAGACAGACAAATTATGAAAATAATAAATATGTAAAAATTAATGAAAAAATACATCCTGCTGTACTTACTAAAAACGGAGAAATTATATATGGAAAATAAAGAAATTAGTTTGTGTATTAATTACGTCTAACTAAAAATTATGAAAAATTACGTCTTACTGTACTTTACTAAAAATTTATGAAAAATTAAATATAGAAAATTACTAAAAATTTTGAATATTTTTTTAATGGTAAAGAGTCATTGAAAAGCCGCTTATCATCACAGCGGATCTGTTTAGTTTGAAACACAGCCGTCGAGATGTTTGAATGGCGTTGGGAGTACGGCGCGTATTTCCTATCACAAGACAGCCGTTTTTTCGTTTCGATAGCCCGAAGGCCTCTCGCGTTCACGAACGGATTTAAGTATTTTCGCGTTTGGCTGAACCCCCTTTTTTCGTTGGCAAGGAAAAATCCAATGATTACCCTTAGGTAATCGTTTAAGATAGATCCCTACACGACGCGATACAGATCTAAGCCAGTATAGAAGACTGTGTATTAAATCTGTATTTACGACGCGATCTGAAAAAAAATGCAGAAACTGGAAGCAACGACATGCAAGTAATAACTTACCCGTCGGATCTCCGCGTCTCTGTTGTTCTCTGATTTGCTTTTGGCCCTTAAAATGATCTTCTTGTATTCGCACCTTTCCATGCCGCTCTCAATTTTACGTATATTTCCATGTAGGACCATTCCTCTGCCTATAAAAATTAATACTTTAGATTCGATCGCCATCTTGTTAATGACTGTTAGTAGTTTCGTCGAAGGTAACAGCTTAATTGTTTTTTTGGCTGATAAAAGCTTTTTCATCACGTTTTGAATTTATGATTAGTGTCTTTTTCTGTTGAATTAATATGATTTTGATTGATTTTTTACGATAAGTTATAGGTTTTTGATTGATTTTTTACGATCAGTTATAGGTTTTTGGTTTTTACCTCGTTTTTAAAATTTTTAAATTCTAAGTTTCTAGAATTATTTTACGGGGCATTTTAAATGATTTTATGATTTATTTTCANTATCGGTGTCGGTGTCGGTGTTGCTGTTGCTGTTGCTGTTGCTGTTCCTGTTCCTGTTACTGTTACTGTTACTGTTACTTTTACTATTACTATTACTATTACTATTACTATAAGGATAACCGTCACGTAATTAAGGATAAAAGGATAACAGTCACGTAAAATAAGGATAACCGTCACGTAATTAAGGATAATAAAAGGATATAATCTACACATGCATGCATGGTCATTTCTCGTCTGCTATTCAAAGAGTAAACATGTATACGTGTAACATCTGCTCCAAGTGTTTTGCATATAAAATCGGACTTAGCCGCCACGCAAACAAGCATAAAACCGCCGCCTCTTTTCCCTGTGACACATGTGGAAAGAAATTTACAAGACAGGATAACTTAATCTCACACAGGAAAAACAAACACGACAACAGGGAACTAACCGCAGACGACGACACAAACAGTAATGACGAGAACAATAGAAAATATATATACAGACCTCTCCAATCACCAAATGATGATGGTGAACAATTAGATTGCGACGAAGACGATCCCGACGAACTTGTAAATGATTTACTCTATTATATCGAAGAGTGCCGTTTAACTAAAGAACATTGGCTCTGTAGTGGCATTATCAACAAGCTACATAATATGGGAATAATTCAGTAACTTACCTCTTCAGAGAGTCGTGCACCTGGTGTAGCGGCGTCTAGAGCTGCGCACGCGCCTGCGCAATCTTCAGACATCGGCTGGAATGGTCCTCAGCGGCTTCGGGGCTAAGAAAAAAAATAAATATAGTCATCACTCAGCGCCTGTAATCATTCTTCATCTAACGTTCAAAGTGTTCGGACGTGCTCAAAAATGCCAAGTCTAAGAGATGTTTGCTTTGAGCAAATCCAAGATCAATACTGGTACGGTTTATATGGAGATTTTAAGATTATTGTGGACAAGGGCACCGGTTACTTTAACGCTACAAAGCTATGCCAGGATGGTGGAAAAGAGTTTAAATATTGGCTACGTAATAAAAGATCGAAAGAACTTATGCGGTATTATGTATCAGAAAGCGCTCGGGGAGAAAAGTATCCGAGCTCATACTATATACATGGAAATCAATATGACATTATTTCTGGAACCTACTTACCCAAAGAGTTGTTCCTGGATATTGCTTGCTGGGTATCTCCAGAATTCTACATGAAATGCAGTAAAATAATTGAAGAATATTTTGTAAACGAATTCAAGGTCAAGTACCAACACGAAAATGAAGCCCTGATGGTCAAGTTGCAAGATTTGGGGACACGGAACGAGAAGCTAGAAAATTACGTTGAAGATATAAGTTCAAAGGTCGTTAACCCGAACAAACGACACATGTTTGCTATAATACAGAAAAATCAATCAACCGAGTATCCGCACTATATCATTAGAACACAGAGAAGGCGTTTCCCGCAATCCTTGAAGAGGCTACAGAAGAAGCACCCGAAAGCGCGCGTTGTGGCAGATTTAGAGTATAACCCCAACAGTATAAGCCTTTTTAATCGCATCAAGGACGAAATACCGTATATTACATGTAAATACAATGATTTTAAACTAGTAAATACACCGATTGAAATGTTTGTAAATGACGTTAATAAAATGCTAGAAATAGATTAAAATACGAGCGCAATTTAATTTCTTACCCCCTTCTACATAATAAGAATACCTTGAGCAAGCGTCTCATTCTTGTCTTGTTCTTGGTAGTGACAAATCGTAAAAATGAAAACAGCGTTCTACTTTAAAGCAAAAGCCTTGAGAGAGATAAGGAAGCTAAATATTCGCGACGATGTATTAATTAATCAATGGTACTTGGATAAACAGCTTTCGTGTTATATACGTTATGAACCCGTATCGTTTGCCTTGCTGTCTAAAATGGACTTTGACCCCTTCAACAAGCATTCAAATCCAAAGACGTTCAACTACATCTGGAAGCACATCGTAGAAAAGGACATGCTGCAGTCCATGTGAAAGAACGTGAACAGTTTACGGCGTTTTGCAGTAATGAAAGCTCAGAGAATTTATTTAAAAAATGCAATTGTAAAAATTACGGTGAAATGTATTGTAATGTTATGTACAGATATCCTTAATAAAAACTTGTAAACATATGACTGAGTATTATTTTTAACCCTTGCAATAATTAACTTGAAAGACGTGGTTGATTGAGAAATGTTTTTTCAACTCTCTACTACTAGTATCTCAAACACACACACACAATTACGAGGAAAATTAAAAGCACCGATAAAAATTAATTTTTTATTTAAATTAGAATACAAGTTAGTAAATATATATAGAAAAACAGGTTAAAGCTTAGGTCTCTTCCATCCGTAGGGCACCGAGTTGTGGTCGTCAAGGAACCGTCTCTTGCAGGAGAGAGGTTTATATAGCTTGGTTTGCTGTACTGTAACCACCTCGTGCTCCTTTGTTCTCAGGATGTTTCTTGAGGCTACGCATACCGGAGCGGTGGAAGTATCCAACACCATATCTTTTATGGTATCGAAATTTACCAGTCGTGAGGTTGAGTAGTTAAGGGATATATCCTTAACTTTACACACGACCTTCTCTTCGTTATCTCTGGTGGAGAAGACCTTGTATGCGTAGTTTTTCGGGGCCGCCGCTTAGTATCGGCGAGATATAATTTTGAGCCTGAAAAGAAGTCACGTGATTAAGATGTGTTTGATTAAAAAATAGGGCGTATATTCTCGCAAAAAGTATAAGACAAAAATGAAAAAAATTTTGAAAGTGAGTAAAAACGAAAAGATAGTGAGTGCTTTCTACCTATTAGGGACATTATTGATCGCGAACAAATGAAAAAAATCGATGAAACCCACTATCTTATTACAAGACGTTTAATTTGATATGCGACACGCCATATTTTAAAAACTCACCTTTATTGAAGCCGTTTCAATACCTTTTTTAAAAAATCAAATATGATAACAGCGCGTGTAGATAAGACTCAAGACAGCGTACTGAATGGAAATACCAGATATACCGCTGCATCCGACTTTTATACTCCGCTGATAACCTCGATCTCGAACCTGTCCCTAACGATCGATATCTAAAAGGCCTCTTAAAGTTTACGATTTGTGCGTCTTTGCCATTAGAATCAGTGTTAATTTACGATATTTGGCAAAGTGTAGCGTTTTCCCCATTAAAACGTAAGTTGTGGCACACTTGATAATTACGCCCACGCGCGAGCTCGTCAAACAACGGCTAACCGATAACAAAAAAGGCCCCCTGATATCCACGATTTGTGCTCTCCGGCCATAAGAATCAATGCTAATTTTAAGATTCCGCCTAGTCTGATACGTTTCCCCATTTGGTTGTGTCTAAATCGAAGCACATACGAGTTGATAGCACACGTAAGATGTAGAAAACACGTGATATGCGTGGTGGTAACGGTGCGCATCTTAAGCTTTAAATCGTTCTTTCTTCGCTGGTCTGTTGAGGTGTACGGAGGTGTGGTGCTCGCGAGGGTTTGGTGGTGAGCTGGTGGTCGACTTTCTTCCTCACGTTAGCGTGACAGGTACCGCTTTCATGCGGGAGAGTACAGCCCTTGGCGTCTGTAATACCAGTCCTAATAAGATAAGGGTCGTCGCCTTCAAGGGGCATGTATAGATAACGCTTTCGTTTGTGCGCATGCGTGCGAACATATTTTTGTGGAATTGAGTTGCCGGGGCTTCCAACTTGCTGTTGTTGTTGAGGCCCCATATGGCTATCAAAGAACCGCCCCCACCCTATAACCCCCGCGCTCTGTGACGTTTCCTTGGTTCAGTTGGTAAGTTTTTACGAAAATTACCTCAAACCGTAATTATTTTATTATGAAAATCTGTACTTTACTAAATACTAAATATATAGAAAAAATTACGTCAAAAATAATATAGAAATTTTTATGAAAAAATATAGAAAAATGAAAGACAGAAAAATTATTTTACGTAGAAATTAGATCAAAACTGTACTTTACTAAAAACGGAAAAATTACGAAAAATTAAATATGTAAAAATTAATAAAAAATACGTCTTACTGTACTTATAAAACGGAGAAATTATATATGGAAAATAAAGAAATTATTTTGTGTATTAATTACGTCTAACTAAAAATTATGAAAAATTGCGTATAAATTACGTCTTACTGTACTTTACTAAAAATTTATGAAAAATTAAATATGTAAAAATTAATAAAAAATACGTCTTACTGTACTTATAAAACGGAGAAATTATATATGGAAAATAAAGAAATTATTTTGTGTATTAATTACGTCTAACTAAAAATTATGAAAAATTGCGTATAAATTACGTCTTACTGTACTTTACTAAAAATTTATGAAAAATTAAATATGTAAAAATTAATAAAAAATACGTCTTACTGTACTTATAAAACGGAGAAATTATATATGGAAAATAAAGAAATTATTTTGTGTATTAATTACGTCTAACTAAAAATTATGAAAAATTGCGTATAAATTACGTCTTACTGTACTTTACTAAAAATTTATGAAAAATTAAATATGTAAAAATTAATAAAAAATACGTCTTACTGTACTTATAAAACGGAGAAATTATATATGGAAAATAAAGAAATTATTTTGTGTATTAATTACGTCTAACTAAAAATTTTGAAAAATTGCGTATAAATTACGTCTTACTGTACTTTACTAAAAATTTATGAAAAATTTAGCGTTAAACTGTACTTTACTATATATAGA